AGGGATCCTTCAACCTCGAACGATCGCGGCTGCCTTATTGCGCAGGATCGATCGATAGCGGCCGAATCCAGGCCACTAGCGGCGTTCACCCGTGACCGCCCGCGCTGGGGTCGCCGCCGAGTTGACACGACTCTCACCAACCATATGGTGGAAGTCCCCCCTTCCCAGACATGCGATGTCTTGATTTGCTTGAATACGAGGTCCCCCGAAGCTCCGTCCCCGAGGCCAGATTCTCGCCCCTGGTCCTTCTCTGACGGCTCTGGGGCCTGGCGAAGGCCCCCAGATGCCGAGAACTGCAAACACAGAAACTCGCGTGCTGACTTTTCCCACGCGCTGGGGGCCTGGCCCCGAGGGCTCCAGACGCCCGGTCCTGTAGAAGGATGGGGTGGAGGAGGAGGAGGAGGAGGAGGAGGAGGAGGAGGAGGAGGAGGAAGAAAAGGAGGAAGAAAAGGAGGGAGAGGAGGACGAGGAGGAGGGGGAGGAGGACGAGGAGGAAGAGAAGGATGAGGAGGAGGAGGAGGAGGAGGAGGAGGAGGAGGAGGAGGAGGAGGAGGAGGTCCTGAAGCAGACCCTCGCCACAACCCGGGGTCGGACCGCATCGCACGCCCGCCGCCCTCTGGCCCTCGCAGCCGCGCGGGGCGGCCCGCGCCTCGCACGCCGCGTCCCACTGCGTCCTGGCCGCCCGGGAGGGCGCCGGGCGTGCGGGGTGATGCGGGGAGGACCCACCACGGAGCAGGCAGTACAATACAGCACAGCAGCCGTGCATCCGGGTGGACGCGTGGGCAGAGCGGACGAGCAGCCAAGCGCTGTGTCGAGCGGCGGCGACAGGCGAGGGAACACGGCCAAAAGCCGTGCGCCGAGCTGGAAATGATAGGTAACGACCAAGATAGATCAAATCAGCCTTTACACCATGTGGCAGGAGAGCCCAGCATCGGATCGAGAAGTCGGATCGGCGATCGAACCGAATCGGATCGGCGGGAATCGGCAGCCGTGTCGGGAAGAATCGAACCGGCGGGAATCGGCAGGATAGTATGCCACCAACAAGAATTCGGAACCCACATCGGAATCCCAAGTCGAATCGAATCGAAATCGGAAGCCATCGAAATCGAACCGAATCGAATTGGAGGAGTCGAGATGAGCCCTGAGCAGACAGGTCCCGAAAGGCAAAGGGTTCCGATCTTGTCCTTCGTTCTCGGGCATCCAGGGCAGTTCTCATGTAATGTGTTTGTTTAATTTCGGGGTCCCCGAATGTCCTGAGACAGCCGACGTGCAGTCGCTCCCGCAAAGCGGCGAATTCAGGCTGGCATTGTCTTTTGCCCACGCGCTCCGGCGTATGGCAGTTCGTTCGCTCGTTCGAATGTCCTGACCGTGTTCCCCAGGACCGGTCTTCTCTCAGCCTGAGTCGGTGTCTGACACCTCTGGGGCTGTCTGAGGGCTACGGGCTCCGAAAGGCCCACAACAAGGCCAAAAACCTCCCGTCCTGTTTTTCACGACGCGAGCATTGGATGCTCATTCTGGGGACATTCCTGGAGACACTGGCTCAACTCGTGCGTCGAAGCTGCGTCGAACGTCCGTCGATGTGGGTCGACCCTGAGTCGAACCTGAGCCGAACTGCGTCGAACCTGAGCCGAACTGCGAAATGCGAAAAAAAGTGGTCGCACTAGACTCGACAGATCCGTTCGGTGGGCCCCAGGAAGGTCCTTACAACGAGCATCTAACGAGGATCTGCTCCATGAGAAGCTGGTGCGCTCAGAGCGGCCGCGGACCTAACCGCGGGGGAACGGCTCCCGTGCACGGCCGGACCAAAAAATACAGACCCGCCGGGCGAGGGAGAGGCCTCTCCTCGGGGCCATGGCGGGAAGGAGGGCTCCCCAGCCTTCGGGCGGGTGGTCATGCGGGGTGCCCCACATGCGAAGTGGCGCAGGATCCCTCCAGGGGCCCCTCGGGGCCCCTTTTCTGGGCCCCTGTGGGCTCTGAAAAGGGGCCCGAAAGGGTCCTTTTAGGATCCTGCTCTGCCCCCCAGTTAGGTCACCCCTCATTACCCCACGAAGAGAACCCTGAGATCCGACGTTGCAACAACAATGCAACATCGTGAAGCAGCACCACCATACAGTCGTGGCGTTGACCTAAGGAACCTAAACAAGGAACGAGGCCCCTTTTTTCCCATAAGTTGAACTTCGATTTCCCATCGAATACTTAATGAAAACCTGAGGCAAGCTGTGAAACACTTAAGGAACGCGGAGCCCCTCCCAAACCAAAAGGGTTCCTTCTTCAGGGCCCCGACTGTAACCTTGGCCCCCATTTTTGTTGCGCCATCTTTCGGGCCCGATCGATCTGCGAGGCCCTCGGGGCCACGAGCTGGGCGAGAGAGCGCGGCGCGCAAACGTTGCAGCGCCTGGGCGACGGCGCGGTGGCCAAACCGCGCTGCCTTGCCTGCCCTAACCTTCCAGAGTGCTAGGGAATAGCCCTCCAGACCTATAGACCTCCCTGGACTGCCCCTGGAAGGTCAGGGTGGGCCACCTGCCCTCGCACCACGCGCCTCCCGCGACATCCACTCCACTCGCTCACTCACCAACCCCGTGGCGCGCAAGGTTCCTCTGTGCCTCTGACGCTACAGCGAAGCGCGCGGAGACGCCATGCACCATGCCGCGGCCGCTCCAGAACGACATTCGTTCCTCGCGCCCTCCCCCCACCCGGTGGCCGAGTCGCGCTGCCGTCCCTGGGCCCGCCTACCCTCGCGCATCGCGCCCCGCGAGGCGCCTCTCGCGACATCAGCTCCTCGCGTCCTCGCGCCCTCGACGAGGGCAGCCGCGATGCGCCACGGAGAGGGCAGCCGCGATGCGAGCCTCGCGCCCTCGAGGCGGGCCAGCCGCGCTGCCCCACGAAAGAGGGCGCAGCCGCGAGGCGCACCTCGCTGCTCCTCGATGAGGGCTCGCCGAGGAGCGCCCCTCGCGACGTCAGATTCCTCGCCCCCCCGCGCCCTCCCCCCCTCGAGGAGGGCAGCGCGCGGCGCTGCCCGAGGCCGCCACGCGCGGCGCGCGAGGTGGCCTTCGCGCCCCCGAGTGCGGCCCGGCCTCCGCGCTGCCTCGGGGAGAGAAACCCTGACCTTCCAGGAGGGCTAAAGAATAGCGCCAGGACCTCGATATCTCAATTCATGTCGAGGTTTTAGGCAGCCGAGATAGGTCTGTAGGTCTGGAGGGCAATGTTTAAGCACTCTGGAAGGTCAGGACACACACACACACACACCGAGGGGGCGGCACAGCGGGGGGGGGGCTGCAGTCAACCCGGTGTCCACCCGGCCAGTGGGCATGAGCAGCTTTCCAGGGCTCTTGCCCTCGTTCGGACGTCCGTTCCCCGTGCGTGTTTCGGCTTCCTGCGCGCCTCTTGTTGCTCCATGATCAGGGACCCTCCCAGATGGTCCTGGCCGAGAATAAGTGCACACGTCCGAGAAATGCCAAAGGGGTTACTGAAGGGGCCCTGGGACACACAAATACATGCATACAAATAAAACAGATTCCCTATAGTTCCCCATAGTTTCTGGGTTTCTGTCTTCCCCCCCACTGCCCATATATGGTCCAGGGCTTGGGCCCCCCCCCAATGCTGATGCGATTGGCCCCCCCCCCCCCGCGCGATGGTCCCCCCCCCCCCCTGTGGGCGTTGCGTGGTGCTGCGCTGCGGTGCCCCCCCCACCTGTGGATGTGGTGTGGTGCTGTGGTGGTTCAGAAGTGGGCGTAGCGTGGTGCTGCGCTGCGGTGCCCTCCTCCCCCCCCTGTGGATGTGGTGTGGTGCTGTGGTGGTTCAGAGGTGGTCCTCGTCGTCGTCGTAGTCGTCGTCGTCGTCGTCGTCGTCCTCGTCGTCCTCGTCGTCGTCGTCGTCGTCATCGTCGTCATCGTCGTTGTCGTCATCATCGTCGTCGCCGTCGTCGTCGTCGTCATCGTCGTCGTCGCCGCCGCCGCCGGCGTCGTCGCCGCCGCAGCCGTCGTCGTCGTCGTCGTCGTCGTCGTGGTCGTCGTCGTCGTCGTCGCCGTCGTCGTAGTCGTCGCCGTCGTCGTCGCCGCCGTCGTCGTCGTCGTCGTCATCGTCGTCGTCGTCGTCGTCTCTGGGACCATACCATCTGGGGGGGGGGTGCCCGAGGAATCCTGGGACCATACCATCTGGGGGGGGGGCCCGTGAACCCTCGACCCTGGATCATATATTCCTATATTTTCTGGGGAATCGACGATTCATTGTGTCTGTGCGTTTTTTCCCCTGCTGAGTTACCCCTGCATCCCCCTTCGGCCCATCCTTGGCCGCTTCCGCTGGCCGCGCCCCGCCGGCCCAGCGTCGACGTGACCTTCCGAGGCCATGGCGTCCTCACCGCGCGTCCTTATTCTACGGGTTGACTGCATCGGCAGCATCCACCACCAGAACTTGGCGCAGAGCCCCTGCAGGCGCGGGCCCCTGGGCCAGGACCCAGAGCCCCCGCAGGGCCAGGCCCTTCGCCGAGCCGCACCCGCCGGCGCCCTCGCCGCGGTGCCGCTGCTCGACCGTGGCAGGCCGGGGAACTGCTGCCGCCCTCCGAGACCGACCTCCATCCCTCGGTGGTTCAACGATGGGGTCCCGAGGGCTGGGGCCCTAAGGATAAGAACAGAACTTGAAAACGCCCCATAAACCTGAACTTCTGGGGCTCCGCGCGGATGTCTTGGATCTGCGCTGGGCCCCCCTCCCTGGCGCGCGGAACGCGCCAGGGGCGGCGCCGGGGCCCCCGGCGCGGATCCAAGAAACCCGCGCGGAGCGCCAAGAGTATATGTTTATGGGGCGTTTTTTTCTTCGGCCAAAGATGGGGGTCCTGAGAGCTGCTGTCCAAAGGATAGGAAAGGATCCGAGGGTGGATTTGCACTGTTGGAGTCGACTGTGCGCAAGAGTGGCCCTGGGCAAGAGTATAACCTTCGGTGCGCGGCTTCGGGGGAGCCGCGGGGGGGCCAAACACGAGCGCGCAAGACGCTACCACCGCACCGCCTCCGGCGATCGGGGGGCCGCCAGTGGGCCCGCACCAGAGGTCGCTCTGGCGAGTGGCCACTCTTACGGATAGTCGATTAAGTCGAGGCTTCCTAGATTGGGGCCGAGTTGCTGGGGTTGGAGGATCGCGCCGCACCGCCGATGCATCGGCGATGCATCGGCGACGTATCGCCGAAGCACCGCCGAGGTCGGCGGTGTATCGGCGACGCCGGCGTGGAGAACATCGGGCCCCGACTCGAGCCGCATCGCCGAGGCATCGACGATGCGGCGCGATCTCCCGACCCCATCTACTCCGACCCCATCTAGTCGGGAGCGGCCAAGAGGGGGGTGTCCAAGAGGGGGGGGTGCAAATCATGACTGCCGCCATGATACCCCCCCCCCCTAGTCATCACCCCCCTCTTTTCCGCCCCCCATCTAGGAGGCCTATAGATCGAGGCACCTCGCCCTCGGGACCCCGGCCCCCTCGAGACCAAATCTTTGCACCACCGCATCCCGGGCCTGCCCGCCTGGACCCCCCGCTGGCGGCGCACGCGGGGCTGCGGGGGCCGGCCACGTGCAGGAGCGGCCCTGGGCTTAAGAGTGACCCCTGGGTGCGCGCGGCTCAAAGGGGGGCGCTGCGGCCGACCGGGCAGTGGGCCCGCACCAGACCTATAGACCCCCGACGTTATGATTTGTCCATGGCGCGACCCCTAGAGGTCCGGACCCATTCCCTGGGACCGGTTTTTCATCCCGAGTCGTTTTTTGACGGTCCCGAGGCCCAGGAAGGGCCCCCGAAGGCCGAATATATATATATATATATATAAAAACTTCCGTCGTGATTTTTTCATGACTCCAGGGGGCCTGGGAAGGTCACTCTGGCGAGATGCCACTCCTACGCGCTCCGAGCAGGGCGAGCTGGGGCAACGGCAGCTCGAGATCGGTCCCAAGACACCTCCGGGGACCCCGAGCACACCACTCTGCCGAGCTGCGCCCAGCCGTGGCGACGAGGGGCCCCCCGAAGACCAAAACTATCGTTGTCTCAACTCGCCCTGCTCCTCCTCCTCCTCCTCCTCCTCCTCCTCCTCCTCCTCCTCCTAATCGTACGGCAGGTTCTTGTCGTCCCGATTTCGGCGCTGGTTTCTGGCACCGTGGGGATCGTTCAACATCGACCGACTCTGGGTCGCCGGCGGCGATCAGCAAGAGGCCTCCCAAACGGAGTCCGAGTAGATGGGCTCGGAGGATCGCGACGCATCGCCGATACATCGGCGATGCATCGGTGATGCAGGGGCGAAGTCGGCTGTGCGTCGGCGACGTCGGCGTGGAGAAAATCGGGCTCCACCTCCGGCCGCATCGGTAATGCGGCGCGATCCTCCGACCCCATCTACGCCGACCCCATCCGACCAGCCATAACCGGGGGAGCTGTGGTCTTTTATCCCCCTGGGGGAATCCATCGCATCGACGATCTCTCGAGAGGGGCGTCGAAATCGACGGGTCCCCCATGGGGGGTGAGGCCCACGGCTCCCCCAATTAAGGGCTGGCCGACCCCGTGTGCGGGGAACGCCAGCGGCTGTGTCGCCGCCGGTCGACACGGCGCCAACCCGCCGTTTTGGACACCCGAAATGGGTACCGAAAGAATGGGTACAATGCCCAACAACAAATGTTGTCCCAAACCAACAGCGGCCGCTGTTGGGCAGGCGGCCTTCTGTCTCGAATGGACACAGGCCGCGGCGGCGTGGACAGCGAATCCTGTTCAGAATGAACAGGAACTGCTGTTGGACATCGTGCCCATTCTTTCCCTGCCCATCTCGGGCGTCCAGAGCCGTGGGCCAGAGGCGGCGGGGGGCGCACCCGGAGCCCCCGGGCACGGCGTCGGACCCCGTCGCGGGGCGGTCCCCGGCGGCCTGGCGCCCGCGGCGGCGCGGTGGGCAGGCTGGCGGCCCGTGCCCCCGCCCCCCGCCGCGGAGGCGGCGGCCGTGGGGTCGACGGCACGCCGACGGCGGCGACGGCCACGGCGACGACGCCGCCTACGACGGAGCCGACGACGAGGAGTGCCGACGACGACGACGAGGCGGCCGACGACGGAGCCGACGACGGCCGGCGCCGACTACGAGCGACGGCGGCGGCGCCGACGAGGAGCCACGGCGGCTGAAGGGGGGAAGGGGCGGGACAGTCCCACAGTGGCGGTGGCCACGGGGATGGCCACGGCGATCACGACGGCCACGGTCCTGGCAGCGGCCACGGCCACGGCGGCCACGGCGGCGGCGGCGGCGGACCAGGGCGCTCCCCCCCGCAGCTGCTGGCAGGGCGGAAGCCTCATCCCCTGCGGCGGGCGGCGCCGGGGATCTCGAGGTCTGGGCGCGGCGCTCGGGCGGGGCGCGGCGAACGCGAGGAGCTCTCAACTGCGATGCTCGTTCTGGGGACCGTCCTGGAGCCACTTGTGTTCGCTCCACTCGTGCGCCTTTGCTAACTACGTTGAACGCCCGTCGACCTGAGTCGAACCTATTCGAACTCGAGACGAGTCGAATTCTGAATTTGGTGGGCTCCAGAAAGGTCACCAGACATGAACAACTGACTCAACCACTCCTGGCCAGCCTGGGCCAAGCAGCCTTCCTGCAGGAAGACCAGATGTTTGCCCTCCCCGCCCACACTTTTTGCCACGGGGCGGTGGGAATGGACAGCCAGAAACCGGACTCCAGCTTATACCTCTTGAGCGCAGAGCGGCATGACGCTACGTGCGACTGTGATCCACCGTGAGCCCCAACTTGAGCCAGGACCGATCCCTGGGCTCTGCGCAATCTTGCCCTGCCCGGCTCCAAGACGTGTCGACAGACCTCCACGTTCAAGCCTCGGCGGCGGCTACGGAACGCGCAGCACATGCACGCATGCACGCGCATCGAGGATGGACAGAACCCCCTTGAGCAAAGCGTGGTTCAGTGAAAACGACCTCGGGCCCACACCTGGCGGGCGCCAGCCTGGAAAACGACGGCCGCGGCGCCCTCTCAAGAGCCGAAACCAAACGATTCACGAATCGACGTGTCGGGGTGGGGGCTCTGTTCACCCCCGAGCACACCTGTCCACGGCGAGACCGACCGGCGGCTTCCGCACCGCAGCGGGGGGCAGGAGCCCCCCGCCAGGACGGCCGCGTGCGGGGACCCCTTCACCTCGTCGGCGACCTCTCCGAGGGAGCGTCGAAGCCCCTGGCGCCTCCTGTACGGGGCAGGACCGGGGAAGGGCCACCACCTGCCGCAGCCGTGGCCAGTCTGCGCGCGGTGCCAGGGCAGAGGTGCTCCGGCCAGGGGCCCAGCGCCTGCCCGATGCGCCGGGAGGCCATCGTCGAGGTGCCGCTGGCTGGCACCGCGGCAGGGCTACCGGGCAGCCATCCCTGTCTGTGCCACTGCCTGTCATGGGCGAACGACGCTTCATGACCCAAACCCAACGAGGGGCCAGAGTGATGGCATGGATGCAGCTTCTGCATCTGGAGCCAAGTTTTGATACATGCCCTACCTCCTTAGCGTTCAGAGCTGGAGGCAGTAGCACGTGCACGTGCAAGGGGCATGGAATATGGACACAGCGTCTACTGCCAACATTTCGGACAAAGGCGGATGGCAAGATACCTACAAGCAGCACCGCAGATCCGAACCATCAGGCAGACTGTCAACCCCGTCCACGTCAACCATGTTCTAAAAACACAGCGAAATCATGTCTGCCTCATCGTCATCTATCAACTGGCGGTCTTCCATCACGGAATCGTACTCGCATGGATCACGCCATGACATTGGCAAACATCATGCATACGGGCATAAAACACATGTTCGACGGGGAGGGTTCCCATACGTGCATAGATCGCTTACATATATGAGCTTCTGGGTCTGAGTATTTGTGGGTGTGTGTATGTGCGAGCGAGTCTCAGCATGACCGAGTCTGAGTATGAGTGGCTGGAACGTGTGAGTCTTCATGTGAGTGGAGTATGGGTAGGTCCATGAACGATGCCCCAATCAGAACCTCAGTAGGTCTCGAATGCCCACCAGGACAAGTGGGCAAACATATATCGTCTTTCTCTTATTTACATTACTTTGCACGGCGTTTCACTCATTTGCAATCATTTGCATTGCGTTGGGTTGCATGGCACTGCCTTGCACCGCAGAGGGTGCACCACACGGGTTGTAATCCATGTGTTGCACCACCTGGACTGCGTATGAGTGGCTAGAACGTGTGAGTCTTCATGCGAGCGGAGTATGGGTGGGTCCATGAAAGATGCGTCAATCTGAACGACAATAGGTCTCGAATACCCTCCAGAACAAATGTGCAAACAAATATTGCCTTCTTTTATTTGCATTACTTCGCGTTTCTGCATTGAATTGCAACGCGTTGGGCTGCATGGCACTGCCTTGCACCGCAGAGGGTGCACTACACGGGTTGCAATCCATGAGCTGCACCACCTGGACTGCACCACGTAGGTTACATCGCATACATTGCAAGACGACGCTGTTTTTGCGCCCGTGCGGGACAGCATTTCCCATTGTTACAATATTGATGACAATCAGTGTGTCGGACTGCTCTCCAAATTGGTCCCGGTGCGCATGATATACATAGTGTGTGGCCGGCAGTGCAGGGCCGAACATTTGTGCGGCACCGAAGGGGAGGCGAAATCACCAGGCTCCAAATCGAAGAGCAACCCAGCGAATGTTGACCAACACCGACAGCGGCCGCCTTGGGGCAAGCGACTCTTGCGTCTCCAATGGACAACGCCCGCGTCGACGCCGACAACGAATCCTGCCCAACATCGCCAAAAACCGCTGCCGTGTTTCGTCCCCGTTCTTTCCGCAACCGCTTCGACCCTACCGACCCCCCCCCCTCGACGCTCAGCGGATTTTTGGGGTTATTCCTCGGGTCTCTGGCGGCCGCTCGGGACGATCCGGGCCCCCCCCCGGAACGCCCCCGACGAAGCGCAAGTGGTGGGGAGCATCCCGAGACTGGGAAACCGCCTCCGAGAGCCAACGAAGAGACTCCCAGAAACCTCCTCCAACCTCGGGCGAACCTCGTCCTTTTTGTGCCCATTTGGAGGCTTCCCAGCTGCGGTCGGAGATGATGTGGTCGGAGGATCGCGCCGCATCGCCGATACATCGGCGATGCATCGGCGATGCATCGATGACACACCAGCGACGCATCGTCGACGTCGGCGATGCATCGGCGACGCCGACGTGACGCAAATCGGGCTCCACATCCAGCCGCATCGGCGACGCATCGGCGATTTGGCGCGATCCTCCGACCCCATCTACAGTCGGACTTGATTGGACAAAACGCGCGAGAGGACACGAGACCCTTCCGCGGCCCACATTGCCATAGGAATGTCGGAAACATGGGCCGCAGGACACAGGACACGAGGGTACCCTTGATCTGGCAGGGCCGACCTACTATTTCGGCCGAAACGAGACGAGACGCGAGTTTCCGCCGGCAGGCGGGCCCCTTAGGAGCGGCGCGGGCGGGCCGGGGCCCGGTCAGATGTGCGCGTGCGCAAAGTAATCCTTCTCCCAAGTGTTCCACAATGTCCGGTCCCCAGCAACATCCAACCACGACGTGGTATTGTCCCCCGTGGCACCGCGTACAACTTGTGATATTTCGTCGCGCCACCTCTTTCGCTGTCCTCCGTGTCTGCGTATCGCTGGCCTGGCGTCGTGGATATCGGGCTCCCACGCCGACTGTGCTCGGACCCCACCTCGACTACCTCTGGGAGGCCCTGGACCACTTCGACCGTGCAGGCCCCGTGCGCGGCGTCCCTCCCGCGCGCCCGCGGGCGCTCCCAGGAGCGCCCCATCGTGCGCCTCCGCGGGGCCTCCGGCGCCCCCCCCCCCCCCGGGCTTCGCCCCGCCCCCCCGCGGAGGGGCGTGCCCCGGGTGCGCACAGCAGCTGGCCGTCGCTCGGACGTCCATTCCCTGTGCTTTTCTTCGGTCTCGTGCGTGCTTTGTTTTTCTCGCAGGGTGATCCGGGATGCTCCCCAAGAGTCCCCGCCGCTAAAAAAAGGGCACACGCCCGAGCGATACCCAGGACAACGCCGCCCGTGCGCGAGAGGAGGGCTGGCTGCCCACCAGACCACCCCAACCCAACTCGAGGAGCCTTCGGGTTGGGCTGGGGTGGTTTGGTGGGCGGTGAAGGGCAGCCCGTCGGCCTGGACAGCGGGTCGCAGGCGGCTGTCTGCCAGGGCGTGCATGGGGCTGCCGTCGGTCTGCGTCCCCGTTGTCCGCCCCCACTCGGGGACGCGCACACATGGATTCGCGATCCATGGATCTAGCCGTTGCCGCCTCGCTCGGCGGCGGAAATATGCGATTTCCCATGGAAACGGGACCCGTCGCTGATCCACGCCCCCTTGATCCATGTTTGGGATCGCCTGACCCACGCTTGGGCCACCCTCGAGCTCATGTCCCTTCACGTGCGATTGACAAGCAAGCCCGAGTCCGACGACAGTCTTGGGGATGCGCCCCCAGGAGCTCTGCGGGAATCGTTCAGCCAGCACCGAGACAGGGCAGGATCTGCCAACATCGGACTGGGAACGCGGGCCGAATCGGAACGCGCATCGGATCGGGCTGCATCGGCACGGGGCCGAAATCGAATCGAACCGGCCGCGACAGGATGCACAAGGTGGCCATACAAGCATCGGTCAGCATCGGATCGTCAGAGTATCGTCGCAGGCAAATGTTCTCCCCCGATCCTGGACCTTTCGATGAAAAATGAAGTCGCTCAGACAAGGGGGGACACCCCAGGATCCACCCCAAGGGGGCTATTCGGACGCACCCCTGTCGAGGATAGACGACCCCCCCCTCGTCTATCCCAGGGTTGGGCCTCGAATCTCTGATCCCCTCGATAATCCCACGAAGGCCTGGGAGAATGGGCAACATAGCCCTGGTTGTGTCGGCATCGAGTCGGGCCGGGCCGGTCAAAACCGACAGCGAGCCCGCTCCATCGAAGAACATGGGCCCCGGCGTCGCTCCCCCTGCAGGGGAAAGGCCTCCCCCCGGGCCTCTCGGGGCACAGGCTTGCGCTCCGCCCAGGAAGGCGAGGGCCCTCAGGGAGTTCCCCAGGAGACCCGCCTCTCCAGGGGCCTGCACGGTGGCAGAGCGTCGAGAGACGCCCCACCTGCGGGGGGAACAACGGGGGGGGGTGGGCAGCACGCCGCCGACTGATCGGCGATAGGCCCACGATGGCGAAACCGCTCGCTCCTGGGCGGATGGGGCTGTCGGGCCCCCTATCGGCGATGAGTGGGCGATTGGGGGTCCATGCGTCCATGCCAGGAGACACCCTGCTTGCCTCCAGGGTGCCCTCCTCCTCCTCCTCCTCCTCCTCCTCCTCCATCTTCTCCAACTCCTCCTCCATATTCTCCTCCTCCTCCTCCTCCTCCTCCTCCTCCTCCTCCTCCTCCTCCTCTTCCTCCTGCTCCTCCTCCTCCCTCCTCCTCCTCCTGAGCCTCCTCCTCCTCCTCCTCCTCCTCCTCCTCCTCTCCTCCTCCTCCTCCTCCACCTCCTCCTCCTCCTCCTCCTCCTCCTCCTCCTCCTCCTCTTCCTCCTCCTGAGCCCATCCCCCTGAACGCTGCCCCTGACCAGGGCGCCTCCGCGGGCGCAGGGGGCCGGGAGACGCCCAGCGGCCGCCCTCCTCCTCGCTCCTCGAGCTCTCGAGAGGGCCGCGGGCCGCCTTCCGCCTCCTGGGCGACCCGTCCGACGCCCGCTTGCGCACCGAGGCGCCAGCGTCGGCCTCGCGGCGGGACGGTGCCGACGGCGGCACCAGGAGGGGGTCGACAGCAGGAAGTGGAGGAGGAGGAGGAGGAGGAGGAGGAGGAGGAGGTGGAGGAGAAGGAGGAGGAGGAGGAGGAGAGGGAGGAGGTGTCGACGCCAACAAGTGGAGGAGGAGGAGGAGGAGGAGGAGGAGGAGGAGGAGGAGGAGGAGGCAGGCGGATGCGGGGGAGGAGGCAGGCAGAGGAGGCAGGCGGAGGAGGAGGCAGGCGGAGGAGGAGTGCTTGTCCACCGAGGCCCTTCTCGACACGACGTGGGCGGCGCAGCGAGGGCCGGCACAGGCTGCGCGCCACCGGTGTAGCGGAAGGGAGGAAACACACGCCTGGGCCAACACGAGTCCTGAGGATCATCGGCAAGGAAGGAGCTCGGAGATGAACCCCCAGGGGGCTACATTCGGCCAAATTCGAACGCACCATGATCGAGGGTAGACGCCCTTCAATCGTACATCCCTGAGCTGGGCCCCAGATCAGCTGGCCCGCGAAAGCCCCAGTGAGTGGGGCAATGAAGTCGTAAAACCTCTTGACAGCGGGGCAGGGTACGCAGGGCGGGAGGGAAGGCTGCGAGAGATGAGGGGAAACGATAGGGGGAGACCTGCTCAGGGGGGGAGGGGGGAAACTTCGACCTGGAACCAACGATACTTCGCTGGTAGATCGGCGATGTGCCCCCGATGGCGCATCCGCACGGTCCAAAGCGGGGTGGGCTATCGGGCCCCTATGGGCGACCAATGGCCGATCCGGGGTCGATTCGTCCCCATCTCACCCCATTCCAGCCTAGCGTTGCCCCTAACGGGAAGGTAAGAGGAGGAGGGAGCAATCTTGCTTCCACCGCTGCTCTCGCACTTCCAGGAACACACCGCCGGCGCATGGCGGGCGTGCAACGCTCACGTTGGCGAGAGAGGGAAGAGGGCAAGCGAGGGAAGCCGAGGGGACGGAGCGAGCGAACGAGTGAGCGCGGGAGCGGCGGACGACGGCGACAAGAGGACGACGAGGACGGCGACGGCCGCGAGGGCGACGAAAACGAGAGCGGAGCAAGGCGAAGACGGAGACGAAGACGGCGGCGCCGAGGGCGGCGTCGAGGAGGGAGGCGACGACAAAAGGCGAGGATGGAGGCGGACGACGCTGGCGAGGACGGCAAGGCCAGCAGGCGGCGAGGGCGCGCGCGCGCACCTGCCCCAGCTGCCGCCGCGCGCGCGGCGACAGGTCGGCGACCTGGCGCGCGCGGACGGCGCTGGCCGTCGAAGGGCATCGCCGGGCGTCGTGGCCCCCGTGGTCGGGCGTTGTCGACGATGTCGTCGTCGTCGTCGTCGTCGCCGCCGCCGCCGCCGCCGTCGCGGCGTCGGGCGTTGTCGACGATGTCGTCGTCGTCGTCGTCGTCGTCGTCGCCGCCGCCGCCGCCGCCGTCGCGGCCTCATCGCCGTTCCTCTCCTCCTGCCGTCCTCGTCCTGCTCGTCGCCGTCGCCGTCGTCCGCCCCTTCCAGGCTCTCTCGCTGACTCACTCCGGCCCCTTGGCTTCCCTCGCAAAGTAAATGCGTGACCTAATCATAACACGCTGCGAGTGTCAATCCGAGCTGCGCAACAAAAAACGGTTTACAAACAAAACAAAGCATGGGTTTCAACGCATGCGTCTGATGATAAACATCAAGAATGCATGAACACACACACACACACACAAATATCAAAATCATGAACGTTCGGATCTGGCACACGCCCTTCTGAATGTGCGATTCGACCCCACCTATACTCTACCTGTACTTCGGCATGGCATTAATTCTGCAATAGTATTCTGGATATGTGCTAACCCCCAACAGCCCCTAACTGGGCGTAGGTGCGGCGTAGGTGGTTTAGGGCGTTTCCTCTTCGCCTTCTCCCTTCAGGGAGGGGTCTACCCCTCCCCCTACACCCCCCCCCAGTCTGAACGCGGGGGCGGGGAGCGGTCGCAGAGACCAAGAACGCATCGGCGAGATGCAGCATACATCTGCGATTTTCGTTAGCTTGTGGGCCCATCAGGGCCTCCTGGGAAGGGCGTCAAGCAATGGAGGACCCGTCCTTCGTTGATCGATCGCTTCCAAGATGGCCCCAAGACTGCTCGAAATGCTCCCAGGAGAGCCTCACGAGGCGCACAGGAGGCCCAGATGCCCCAAGAGGCCCCCAAGCGGTTCGCAAGAAGTCCTCAGAGCCCCCAAGAGGCTCTGAAGACCGCCAAGAGGCCACCCACAACGTCCCAGGGGATCGCGAAGAGGCCCCCACGGAGCCCCAAAGAGTCTCCAAGAAGCCGCCAGGATGCCCGCACTGAGGCCTCAAGGAGGCCTCAAAGCGACCCCGAGAGGCATCCCGAGAGACTCCGAAAAGCATCCAAGAAGCCTCTGGCCCACGGAGGCTCCCCGAGCTCTGACAGTGGTGCCGCGCTCCGCCGCTAAGGGCAACTCCCCATGGGCATCGTTTCTGGATTGGCCGCGAAGCATCAAGACTTTCGACTTGACGTCAGACTCACACTCGCTGCGCGCACCAATCTCGCACTGCCACCCGTGCACTGGCCGCCAAGCGCGAGTGCACCCCTCTGAGAAGCTCGGAACACAGAAGCTGGCCTGTGGAAGCGTTGTCAGCGTTCGCAGATACCACGAAACAGTGTCTGGAAGGGGGATGGGAACGGGATGGGGGAGGGCGAATATGGTCCTGGGAAGTCTGGTCCGCTGTCAGATTTGATATGGTGTTGCATGATCTGGCCTGGCGAGGTGGACACGGAATAGGTAAGGGATAGGAACGCGAGAAGCAAAGAGTCGGGAAGAGCAGGGGCAGGAACATAAACAAGTGTGGCACTGATCCTTGGGGTTTCTTGGTGCTCTTTTCTGAATTGCATAAGGGAATTGAAGTGCATCGTGGGTGCCTCTAGAGGCTTCCTCGGCAGTCTTAGGAGGCTCTCCGCAGGACTCTACTACTATTCAACTATCATGAGGCTGACGGTAAGACTACGTGCCAACAATCATTTACGCAGCATCACTCCGTCGATGTCTACAGGGTCATTGTATTTGACTAACACATGTATGTTTGAGAACCCAGTCAACATACGGACAGTTATGCAAGACGATGTCGGTTATCCCTCTTGTATCACATCCGCCTACCCTGTCTGCCTGTGGAAGGGTCTTCTCCGTCTGCCTCCACTTCGTCGTCGTCCTCGTCCTTTCTCTTTCCCCACAGCGTCTTCTCCTTTTCCGGGGCCTCCTCCTCAAGCGTTTCGGTCCAAACCGACATTGAGCAACGTTGTCATTGAATCAAAGGGAAGCCCCTTCCCTTTGATCCCTTCCCCGGCGCGGGGGGGGGTCCCCGGGGAGGACCCAGGGGAGGACCCGGGGGAGGACCTGGGGGAGGACCCGGGGGAGGACCCGGGGGAAGACCCGGGGGAGCACCAGGGGGAGGTCCCGGGTCAGATACGCAGCACCCCCCCCTGAAGATGACTTCCAAGATCGCTCATGTAGCCTTCGATGGCTCCAGGTCGCTCCCAAGAAGCCTACCAGAGGCTCGAAGATCGCGCCAAGACGTCTCCGAGTAGCCACGGAAGCTTCCAAGAACGCTTCCGAGATGGCTCCAGGTAGCCCCGGAGCCTCCCAAGGACGTTCCCGAGAGGCCAAAATCAATGGGGAACCGTATACCTTTGGCATACACTACTGTTCGGCCTTCACGGCGTTGAAGGCAGTCCAAGAAGCCCACAAGAAGGCCCCAACACGGCTCAAGAGGCTCCCAAGAGGCGCCCAAAACGGCCCAAGAAGGCGCCAATACGGCCCAAGAGGGCGCCAAGACGGCCCAAGAGGGCCCCAAGAGGGGCCCAAGATGGGGAGCCCGAACCAAAAATCCGAGCCTTCCGCCCCAAGAAGCTCCCTGGAGGCCCCACGAAGCCCCCAAGAGGCCCCAGGAGACCCCGAAGAGGCCCCCAAGAGACCCAAAAATCCCCCAAAGCCCAACAGATGCCCCAAGAGACACCAAAACGGCCCCCTCCTCCTCCTCCTCCTCCTCCTCCTCCTCCCCTACCTTGCTCCCCCTCCTCTTGCTCCACGTCTGCCTCCTCCTCCGCTTAGGAACAGCTCGGCGCAGAGTTACGCAATCATGCCTGGTGATGCAACCAGGAATCCGCCGACCCTGTCGACGTGTGGGAGAAGCTTTTCCGTCTTCCCCACAGCGTCGTCGCCTCTTCTGCTTTTCGAGGGCTCCCTACACAAGTCCATACAAACATTGAACAACGTCGTCCATTCAGTCGAAGGGAAGCCCCTTCCCCTAATCCCTTCCCCGCCGGGGAGGGGGGGGTCCCGGGGCAACTCCCGGGGGGGGTCCCCCTCGGATACACAGCCCCCCGCCTCTCATCTCCTCCTGCGTCCTGGGGCTCCGTTAGCCCTCCAGGGCCGTCTGCGGGACCTTTCAGCCTAGCTTGAGGCTCCTTGGAGACCTTTCGCCATTTTTAGACTCTTTCGCAACCTCTGGCGGCACTCTTGACAGCTTCTGCGGGCGCTTTTGGACCTCGCTTGACGCCGTCTCGGAACCCTCTCGGGCCACTTGAGGGCGCTCTTTGAAAATCTTGGCACTCTCTGGAGCCGTTCCCAACCCTGGAGGAGACCTCTTGAGCTGTCGCTGGACGACCTTGCAGGCATCTGGCGCCGTCTTCGAGCCATCTGAGGGCATGTTGGACTCCTCTATTACCTCCATTGTCTTCATCGTCGCTGCCTACAGGGTCGGCGGCATCGGCCGTAAGGCCTTCGCAATATAAAGAAATGGCCGCCGTTCGTCGCCAAGGAGCAGGCTTGAGATGTCTTCAACGAGTCGAAACGCAGATTGTTCTGTCGACGCCACCAATCCATGACAAGACGCAGAGACATTTCCAACATGAAAATTAAGCTGACTCACGGCCTCGTTCATTGATGAGTTTCATGCTGACGCCTTCGTGACCACATGATGTGCAACGACGGATACGGCTGGTTGATACCAGGCCTCTCGCGCAAGCCGGATTGTCATACGAGTGCGCTGCCGTGGGATGTAGGAAATTAGCGCGGAACCGAATCAGAACGTTGGAACTCCGCCGTATAATTCCGATCATACGAAAGAAATTCGGGCTAATTGTGTCCCCTTTCTGAAATCTATCGCGATATGAGGCTCCGAAAACCATATGAAAATCTTGCCTGTTCGGACCGCATCCAAATCCGAAACATCCGCCGACGACATGGCCTGGGATACCAGCACAAGGCTCGGCGGCCGGGCGGGCCTTCCCGGGAATGGGAATAGGAGGGGGGGAAGTGACCCAGCGCGGCGGCGAGAGCACCTTTCCGATCAGGCTATGTGGCCGATGGGCTGCAAAGGCTGCAACGCTACGATATGCTCGGGTCTCGCCTGGTTCAAGCAAAACGCCAGTGAGATCGCCAGGGATGGCGCTCTGGAGCGCTACGCTGTTTTCTGCGCTGCGCTAGCCTGGCTACAACGAAACGCTCCTGGGATCGCCAGGAATGGCGTTCTGGGACGTTGCGGCGTGTTCGGTCCTAGCCTGGCTGTGACGAAGAGGACACCGGCGACGCTCCTGCACCGCTCCCGCCGAGCCCATCCCGGAACCGGGACCAGGGCAGACGCCCTCCTGGCCCACGCAGCAGGGCATTGTAGTCGCTGCCGGGAACACACATCCTGGCCATCGCTCGGACGTCCATTCCCTGTGTTTTTTTGTTCGGTTTTGTGAGTGTTTTTTCGCCAAATGATCAAGGATGCTCCTCGATGGTCCTCGCCGAAGGAAAAATACACACGTCCGAGCGATGCCAGGACATCACATATGTCCACGGCCTGGCGCTCAGGCCTTCGTCGGCCTCCGACCCCGTGGACACGGGGCGGGGGCTGCGCGGATGCCCCGCGCGGCACGCACGCCTGGCATCGCGCGCCCATGGCATCGCGCCTCGGCGTCTTGGATATGGAAGTGCTCGTCGCTCGGTGAGATCTCTCTCTCTCTCTCTCTTTTTTTTCTCTCTCTCTCTCTCTCTCTCTCTCTCTATATATATACGCAGACCCCCGACGTCTTGATTTGGTTCGCAGAGTCCCTCCGATCCCCAGAACTCTCGACCCCCTTCCCCCAGGGACCTGTGTCTCATCCTGGGGAACTGACTGCTTCGTCCTGGGGAACTGACTGCTTGACGGCCCCAAGGCCTGGTGTGAGGGCCCCCGAAGGTCCCGCAAACAATCCACAACCGTGCGCCGGAGATTTTCCGACACGGCGCGAGGGGATTGAATGGGGCCCAGGCACACGCACCAAACACCAATACATCAATCCCAGGATTCCCATTTTGGGTATTTTCTGGATTTTCGTCTTCCCCCACACTGCCCATATTTTCCCATATTTTCCTGGGAATCGTCGGTGACTTGCGTCTGTATGTTTTGATTCCCATCCTGAGGGATCAGGCGAGCCCAGAATCGAATCGACAAGTCGAGCCGGCAATCAAAACGAATGGGATCGGCAGGAATCGGGAGCCAGGTCGGGAGGTGTCGAGAATCACTGGATGTCAGCAGGCCAGTAAGGCCTCCAGCGAGAAACCGAAGCCCCGATCGGTGTGCGAGGTCGAACCGAATCGGCATCGGGATCGATCGAAGTCGAATCGAACCGAGCCTGAGGAGTCGAAACAAGCCACGGGGTCCGGGCACACCGACCCTGGCTCGCGGCGCGCACAAGGGGCATGGGGGAGGGACTGGGAGGGAGAAGGCTTCTTGGAAGGAGGCTGCCTCTCAGAGGGCGCGGGTCCTACATCTGCAGTTACAAAGAAGGGCCGCGGCTTCCAAGAAGCAGGGGTGTTTCTGAGAAGCCTTCCCTCCTCCCCCCTCCCCTCTCCTCCTCCTCCTCCAACTTCCCCTCCTCCTCCACCTCCTCCTCCTCTTCCTCTTCTTATGAGTATTATGTCATCAATATTGTGTTGACTAAGATTATGATGATGATTACGATCTGGATTATTATTTCTATTGATATTCCTCGTATGATCAGTACCATTATTCCTTCTGTTATTATTACGATGACTCTTACTATCATCCATATGATTGCTATTGTCAGTACTAGTCTTATCATGGTCCGTCATCTTCCTCCTCCTCCTCCTCCTTCTCCTCCTCCTCCTCCTCTGCGCTTGGCCGACCCGGGCCCCAGGGCCAGTGCCCCGGGCGGACGGCCGCCGCCCTCCGATCCTCGGGGTTGCGGCGACCCGGCGCACCGACACGGGCGGCGGCTGCTCCGGGTAGCCTCCTGGGGGCGTGGGCGCGCGGGGGGCGAGCGGCAGGAGGAGCCCCGCTTCATTGTCGGGTCGGGCGTGTTCCCCTACAGGGGGGATGTTGGGCGACAAATGAAACCACACTCCGAAAATACTTCCCAAATGCCGGGAAATGGTAAAAAAAAATAGTCCCCAGACCATTGCTTGACTATTTTTGGATATTTCTCCTGTAGAGGGACAGGCACGACTGAACATTATTGGGGAGACGTAAGACTCGGGTACGGGGGACTCGGGTTGGCCTGACGGGGCCATCATAAAAATGACGAGGCCCAACCTGAAATTTGAAGCGAACTACTCCTGTTGCAAACGTGCCACGAAAACTGGACCGTCAAACTCCAGGACTTCCTCGTCAAAAAGCGTGGTCAACCCGAGTTCTGGCGTACTCGAGTCTTACGTTTCCCCGACTTTAGGTCGGGCATGTCCTCTTAGAGGCGGATCTTGAAAGAACAATCAAAGAAGTAGCCCCAATCTATGCAACACAAGCAAAAAACACTTCATCCCCAGATTATGTGTCTGACTATTCTTGAAGATTTTTCCTGTAGTGGGGCATGCCCGACTTAATCCCAGCCGGACACCCACACGCCGATCCCAGGCCCAGGACCACCCGTGGGCCCAGGAGCGGTGCATATGTGACTCCCCACTGGCCTTCGGCAAGATGGCACACACGCACGCACGCACGCACACACGCACACTTTCATGTACATGTACATGTACATGTACACTTTCATGTACACTTGCACTTACACTTAAAACCCGTGGGCCCGGGATCGGCCTGGCCAGGATCGGTATAGGTGTACAGTTGGTGCCCTTGGCCCTGGGCCCCTGGCTTTCTCCTCAGGACCTACACCCGCCTGGAAAAGCAACGCAACGCTTGCAAACCAAGTCGAAGAACCGTCCCGGGTGCGTCGGGACTTTCCTGGGGGGGGTGTTTCATCCAGGGTCCGTTTCTGGCGGTCCCGGCGCCAGAACACGACCCCCTGAGGCCAAAAATTACGATAACCCGAGGGCGACAAAAAGTACCAATTCGACGATCGAATTTGCATGCCATTTCCAGGGCAGAATAGATGCCCCCCACATGGCATCCGATCAGCCTGGGTCGGAGTGTCGCGCCGCATCGCCACTGCATCCCCGATGCATCGGCGACGTCGCCGATGCATCAACGACGTCGGCGTTTCGAGCCGTAGTCTCGGGGAGTGGGGCCCTGGGCCCGTGGCTTGGACGGCCCGCGGATCTGCTGAGGTACCCCAGCAGCCCGGAGGCGGCAGGAGACCGGCAGAACCCCTTGACCCAAACATCCGAAGAACCAACTCGCGCGGCCCCAAAACTCGCGGCCCTTGGAATATTTGTTCGCCATCAGGGGATCAATGTTGGTGGCCCTGGAGCCCCAAACAAGCACAATCCGCGTCGTCGTCGCCGCCGTCGTCGTCGTCGTCGTCGTCGTCGTCGTGGTCGTCGTCGTCGTCGTCGTCGTCGGTCGTCGTCGTCGTCGTCGTCGTCGTCGTCGTCGTCGTCCCCTCCCGCATTCCATCTGGGAGGGGCCTGTGGAACTCTGGGGCCCGTCCCATTGGGGGGGCTGTGAATCCACGATCTGGGATCAGATACGCTGTGCCATTCGACTCTTGCGGGACATATCCCCGCCTGGCGGAGTGGGGAAATGGGATTGCATGGAAACCTACGTCGCCCCAGGCGCTGTCCGAGTTGGGCTTGGGTTGTATAGTTTGGAACAGGTTTGGGGCCGGATTTGCCGGAGACGAGAAGGACGAGGCGGAAAAAGGAAAGGCGACGAAGAGTGTTTCGGAGAGAGAGAGAGAGAGAAAGAACAACAAAAAAAAACAGAGAGAGAGAGAAGGCCCGCAAGGCAGAAGAGTCTGCCCCAGCATGACGCCGGGCCGCGCGCAACCCTTACTTGGGCTCTCAAGTGTCTTGTCAACGTTGACGCTGCCTTCCAACATGTCGCCGTGCATGTGCGTGGTGCCGCGGGTGCCAGTCCAGTAGCCTCGTCCCCCACCACCCGCCAGAGGCCGATTGCATCTCATCGTGGAGACGCCTCTTGGTATTTGGCAAATCATCAGCCCAATCAAGCACGCCGCATTCATGAGCAAGGTCCAACGCTGCAGAAGTAGAACGTTTGATAAAACAAACCCAATCTTCGTCAGGGAGCCGCCGTGCACCAATAATCATTATGAGCATCCGTCGTTGCGCACTCTGCAGTTGTCGCTGCTGCTCCGATGTGAGCGCCCATGCAGCAGAGCCATGCATCACACACGGCGCAATGATTGCTTGGAACAGCCAAATGCGGTGCTGCATCTTGATACGCTTTGCAAGACGTGAACTTGCGCTTTGCGAATGCTGCCCAACCAAGCCCAATCCTGCACTGCAGCTCGGCCTCATGATAAGAATCCAACGGAAAACTGGCGCCCCAAGTATTTCTCGGACTGACCGCGTTGAACCACTCGCACATGATTGACCCCGCGCCGCAGAGTGGCCGGCCTGTTGTCGACGCTCGTCTGAATTACTTGTTTGCCCCTATGCACTCTGGGACCGTATCTGCGCGCTTCCTTCCCCAGATCAACGAGCATTCTCGACGAGTCTCTGGCCGAGGATGCCACCGACAACACGTCGTCAGCAAATCTAAGATTCGTGAGGGGGCCACCGGGGCTGTCAATGACCACGCCGCAAGACGATCCAAGAAGCCTGTGGTTCAGGCTAGCCGAACGCGCCTTCAGCTTTCTGAAAAGCGCCTCCACGACGACGACACAGAAGAAAGAACTAAGAGGATCGCCTTGCTTAACGCCGCGGAGGAGGTTAAATTTTCTGTTTTCGGTGCCTGCCGCGACGCGCGCCGACTGTTTGGCATGCAGTCGTTTGAGCATGTTGGCAGATTCGCGCCCCACGTTCTGGTCTGCCAGCGCTTCCCACAGACTCTCGCGTTCGACTGCGTCGAAGGCCATCTCGAAATCAACCGGGCAGATTCAAAGCGGCGCGTTGAACTCGTGGCACGCATCCACGAGTAACGTTGTTCATAACGTATGGTCTATCGGTACGCAGCCTGGTCTGCCGATTGCTCTCTCGCGACCGTGGGTCTCAGCCTTTCACGCCGCATTCGGCTGAACAGTGTGTATAAGATCTCTAAGATTACACTGGGGCGATAATTCGAAGGCGACGAAGAACCCTCCATCTCGTAAAGCACTGTGGTGCGAGCCTGGAGCCAGCCAGTCGGTAAGTCTGCAGATGGGTTCAGGATTTCGTTGAACGCGTCCAGCAGCAGATCTCGCAAGACCGCAGAGTCACTATTAATCAGCCCTGCTCTCACCCCATTGTCGTCAGCTGCTTTGTGGAGCTTCAATTGGCGCATCGCTTCTTTCAGTTCGGTGAACGGCGGCGCTCGAGCGTCACCCACAGGAGAGCATGCAATATGTGAGTGCTCTGGCCGGGTGCTCGCGCGCAGCCCTTCGTATAATTGCACGAGACCTTCTACCATATCATGCTCCTCGTTCGCGAGTTGCCCAGCTTTGTCCCTCATCTCGGTGATGCGGGACTTCCGACGCCCGTTCGTTGCGGCAGGAATCTGCTTGGTATCGCGGAAATGAAGTTAAATCACATAGACTTTTCAATGTGCTCCAGAATCCGGCGATGGCAAACAACGACTGCATCCTTTTTTTTCCACTGCGAATTATTAACGCTTTCTTTCCCGTCTATGGCAGATCCGATTGCGCAGTGGCCCGCCGGGCATCGATGAGGTGATGGACTGTGGAATTGGCGTCACTTGGACCAGGCGCCCCATCAACATCCGGGCTCTGCTCCTCGCCCTCAGTAGCTGCCTTGGACAGAGAACAATTCAAATTGAAAATGTTCTCGGCTGCCTTGCACTCTTGCTGCGGCACTTCTTGCAGATGCCGCTCCAGTATATCCCGATAGCGGCTGCTTGGCTGCCAAGGCGTCGCCCGTCTCGCTCGTTTCGAACGCCGCCTCCGAAGGGCGGCGCCGGGGCCGGAGATCTCCGCGGACACGGGCGATGACCCGAACCGATGTCAACATCGGCAGCAACGAAAGAATATGCGCCAAAGAAACCAACCGTCTGTCCAACAAGAGATAATGGAGTTGAGGGCGCCCCCCCCACTTGCGGCACGTCCACGACGCCTCGAAACTGTTGGAAAAGAACGAATTGGCAATCGGGAGCTCTTCCATCGAGCATGCGCGTAGTAATGGCGAACCCCAAGTCTGTTATATCAGCCATGCCTATACGACCACCCTTCGGGTGATAGGGAGGTTCGGGGGGGGGGGCAACGTCTCACTCGATCGGTCTCACTATCGACCTTACGATCAATCTCACTATCGGTCTCGCTCGATCGATCTCACAATCGGTATCACTCGATCTGTTTCGTTCGATCGATCTCATAATCGATATGAATATCGATGCCACTGTCGATCTCACTATTGATTTCACAATCGATTCCACAATATCTCACATTCGGTTTCACGATCGATATCGCTATCTGGATCAATCGAGGGGGCAATCAACGTCTCCATCATCATCATTGACATCACCGTCACCAGCGTCATCATCATCGGGACACCATCATCATCATCACCGCATCACCATCATCAACATCTTCACCACCAGCATCATCATCATCGGGCACCATCAGATCCACCAACATCATCATCAACATCGTTATCATCGGGACACCAACAATGCTCATCACCATCGGAACACCACCACCATCATCATCATCATCTCATCATCATCCTGAACAACATCGCCAAACTCATCACCATCGGGACACAGTCATCATCATCAACAACAACATCATCACCATCAGCATCGTCACCGGGACACCCCCACCATCGTTATCATCATCATCATCGGGACACCATCATCGTCATCAATGTCAGCATCGTCATCATCATCGGGCCACCATCGCCAGAATCACCATCACCTCATCAACGTCCTCACGATCAACATCATCATCTT